AGTCCCCAGCGAGGCTCATGTACAAAGCCTTGCAAGGGCGGCAGTGCAAGTGTCTGTGTCCTGGCTCCCCTTCTCAATTTTTCAAGCTCTCTGTGGCAGTGTGTGGTAGCAGAAATGTGGTAGCCCATGACAGCCGCTATATAGCACTGCTTTTCAGTGTGTTGGTTCATGTCACCGTAACATTAAGAGTGCATTATATCTCATGACAGCACACGTTTGTCAGAGCAGTCGAATGCTTTGCTCCTCACTTTGCTGTCTGTTGGACTGCGCAGACCGAGGAGTGTAGCTGTGTGAAACTATAACAACTTCTTCCTTAAGATAGGAAAGTGACAGCTGAGAAAATCTGCCTTTTTCCAGAGATGTGATGATGCCTCAGGATTAAAAAAGTACACTAATCCTTAAGAGCCAAGTGTGACTTTGTTACTGTGAATACAAGTGGTGAAAATTATCATATGTTATACTGTTCTGTTTTCTTTTTTCTTCTCCTTTTTTTATATAGAAGGGGCCTTACTTATTGTTTTCTGCATGCACTGGAATGTGAGAATGCTGCGTCAATGCACCTATTATAAGTATGACTTCAAGGCAGGAGAAAATTAAAGATATTTATCAAAGTATTTTCATCTCTTTGGAGAAAACTGTTGTTGTTGCCAAGTTACCATGCTACCTGGAACAAGCTCTTGGTGGATTTAAGCAAAATATTACAAGTATCGCATTCCTTTGTTTTCTGCATAGCTTGTCTTCTTGGGAGATAACTGTGCTTTTATGATTTTTTTAGATAATGGGTTTTTACCCTTCCTTCTGCTATCATGGTAATATATAGAAAGAAATCTAAAGAGAATGTTATTATTCAGAGCTCATTTTCTTTTGAATATCTAATAGCAGATATCAAGTGTCTCAATGCTATACCTAAGCTGCCTAGCAATGTATAAGCAATAGCTGAATTTGTTCTAAATGATGTGCTTTGTAAGCGAATGAAAGGTACCATGACTGGCCTTAGTGCAATACGCACAGGTAGATAAAATGTAATGTATTTTCAGAGATCAGCTGACAGACTGGGGGGCATGAGGGGGCAGAAGCAACCATAGAGATCTTCCTTTGTGCTCCATATGGAGCATATAAGTATGCTGTACTAGAGGGAGAACAGGTATCTGAGGGACAGCTATATTACAGCGGCGTTGCGGCCATCAGGCTGCACGTTTTACCAGCTGGCGCAGTATTAGAAGCCTTTATATAGGATGTTACAGTCACCTTTCTTTTCCAAGGGTCTGCGAGGAAATCAGAGTCCCTGCCTACCACGTGTATGCTGCACAGGGTTGACTTTGTCGCATGCAAGGAATGGGGTGATTTGGACTTGCTGTGCTCGAGCAGGTCAGGAGTGCTGTGTGAGCAAGGGTGTCCAATGGGCTGCAGATGGTGTCAGGACCTTCTTAAATGTGACGCTGTTCTTCTTCCAGTCCAGGTGTCGAAACGAAGAGGCAGGGTACCCTGGGTTCTGCAGCAGCGGTTTCATTTCCTCTTTCGATATGGTAGAGTTGATGTTCACCTCACTAGCACCACTTTTTTACCCAAGTACCTTCCAGGCACAAATAGGCTTAATTTCTATTTTAGGTCAGAACAAAGGACAGGGTCAAGGTCCTGGCCTTGGAGTTTATGCTAGGCTCTGCAAAGGTGTGTAAACAAAAGTCAAACAGACCTAGCCCAAAGATCAACATTTTCATTAAAACTACTCCTCTGAAAGCATAAACCAAGGAGTTTTCTTCTATGCTACATTACCGAGGTGTGCAACTGCATCAGTAATGTTCAGGGATGGTGGCAGTAACAGGTCTTCTGCTGCCAGGTTAGTGGAAATTGGGAGTGTGTGTGAAATATTCAGGATCATGGGAAAACTCAGGTAGCAAATATTCTGGCAGATGGACTGCAGACATGGAAATGGAAGAATATGGGGCCCAATCTGCCCTGACAGTGCCTGCCCTGAGATGAAAATACCAGCTCACTCAAGTTACCTGCACTTAGACTTTACTAGGCCAGCATGGGTACAGCGCGCTATGTTGATTTATGATATCTGCTGTGCTAAAGCCAGCTTTATGTGTTCTTGAAATTTGGCTGATCCTGGGTCTCAGCCAAATAAGCTGTTCTGCACTCAGATTAATTCAGCAGAGAACCAGAGATGTGTCTCTGCCTCATGCACATGGATGACTGGGAGTTGGCTCTACTTAGCAGGACTCAAGGAACTGTTATATGGAACCATATAGTCTAAATGAACGTGTTGATGTTTTTTGGAAGCTGCCTTCTTTAAAGATGCTTGTCATAAACCCAAGAAGTTTGAAAGACTTGTATTAGCTAAATCCCAAGTTCTCATCGACTGGACATGCTGTCTTCTTTCAGAAATGTCACTTGGAATAGTTTCTGAATCAGGGCCAGTAAACTTGTGTACCCTGGAACATCTCTAGTGTCTGAACTAGCTTTTAAAATTGTGTTACTGAGCTTGGATTAACTGGCCATATATGAACAGTGGTAAAAAAAATTTCACAAATGGTAAAGCGAGCAATTCTGACAAGGATGCAAAAGCTGGCGTGGAAGTGCGATACAGGCAGTGCCACCCCCGCCACATAGTTCAGAGGCTTCAGCAGTTTTGGCTGGTCACGGGCTACTCACAAGTTATAGAGCTTTACTGTAGCCAGAGCAGACATTTTGAAGTTACATTTATGAGTAAAAAGACTGATTTTGATACCTTGTTTTGTTGGGAGGGGGAGGATTGCATTTTTTAGTGCAGCAGTAAACAAATACAGGATGTGGGAGGAGAAGACGACTCAGAAAACACTAGCGTAGTCCAATGTTTGCATTATAGCACAATAAATAGGCTGATTCATATGTATTTGAATGCATATATACACATAGATAGAATGCAGATGAACCTAATAAAATTATACTAATCACAGGAATGGCAGCCTTTCTGCAAGAAAGAAAAATTAATGTTCACTCCGTCTGGAAAAGGAGATGTGTCTTCATTTAGTAGCGTTCTTCCCATGCTAAAAAGGAATTATATTTAAGATTTTTTTTTTTTTAAATGAAATGTTCAGCTTTTCTGTCAAATGGCACTTTGTAGAACTCAAACAATTAAACACAATAATAAATTCTTCTGTGGGAAAAAATTTTTGGGTTGGGGGCATTCTTCTCCTGGAAGCCCATGTATTGATCCTCTTTTTTTTTAAACTGAGAAAAGTGAAAAATAGAAGAAGGAAGGATTAGAAATTGTGGCAGTGGAGCATGGTGCTGTTATGCAGGTTCCATAAATATCTTAAAACAAAGAAAACTGAGTGAAAATGTGTCAGCATTTTGGAGGTAAATCAAGTTTATAAAAAAAGGAAGTATTTTTTAAAATACTCTGGAGACAGTAGATAGTAGAGATAATATCTCAACACGAGAGTTTCAACCACTTAGTGCTGCAGGTAAATACATTTTCACTTTTTTCCTCAGTTCTCTTTCTTATGCCTTAAAGATTAGAATTGTTCCTCCTGCCCAAACTCCAATGCCTTTTAATGGATTTTAATTGTATTCCCTTGTTTATGTTTATCCACATGAAACAAATAAAATAAAAATCTGTTAAGCATTTTTAATGGCATATTATTGGATGAATATATAATATATATAATGTATATAATATAATATATAATAAATATAATTTATTTCAATGCAGTGATATTTAAGATAAGTTAGTTTATATTTCTTTAAAGTGATAGACTTAATTGAAGGGAATAGTGGAAATGAGCATTAGCTAAAGTTAGGACTATGGTGGTTTATGGCAGCTGAATATTAAGCTGTTTTTGTCTTCAACTAACATTTCTTGTAATAATACCAGGCAAAGATGGATACCAAACATTTTCTTTTTGAAAACTGTTAGCATAAAAATATTGTTCCTGGGCTTGGTGTAACTTATCTTGGTAAGTCAGTAAGGGACTGCCATGGGGGTTAGCTCTCCTGGCGTATCTCTTTCCGTGAATGCTTGGGGCTACTGATGGGATGGCTGGCGAGCTGGGCTCCCTGGTCTGCTGCTGCTGACTGATGTCTCCCGTGGGCAACTCTTTGCCTTGCAGCTTTCTGTCTAGAAAAGTGGGGATTCTGCTTTTTATTCAAATAGTCACTGCAATCCAGCCTCTGCTTAAAATTCAACATATGTTCAGGAGCTTCTGCTGAGAAAGGACAGCCCGCCGAAGCAGGTGCAGTCAGGCCTCGAGCTGTTTCACTAACTCCTTACTTACAGAGTCTGGGATGCTAAAGGATTTCACCCGGAGCGGAGTGGCTGGGGTGTCTTTCATGCTGTGATGAATATGTTGAGTTTTAGTAACAATTATTGTACTTCATGGGCTCATTTGCTATATTTATATTGCACTCACTGCTATTACTAAAACTTGTGATAGTAGCAAATTGAGAGGGCATAACAGCCAGGTATGCGTAGCTTGACTTTCCACCAGTTTCTTTTATTTTGTTATGCTTTTGCTTCAGGAAAGTTTGGAGAAAGATATAGGTTTTATTTCTTTTATCTTTTAAACATGTGCCTGGTATATATTATTTTCCATTTTAGCTTAGCAGTTGTATTCGCTACAGGTTACGTGTGTTACAGAAAACCAAACTGGGGCATAATTTCAGCTCATGAAAGCTGGATTCAATTCAATGCTGACCCTGCTTTGACTAGATGATCCCATGAGGTCCCTTCCAGCCTGAATTATTCTATGGTTCAGTGATTTCAGGCCAAAATCAATATAGATCCTTTGAAGTCATTGATTTACATATGATGAGGATCTGACTTTTTGCCAGAGACAGCTTTAACACTGCTTATCATGTCATCAAAGATGAACATTTTAATCTGAGAACCTACCCCTTGATTTCAATTACAGAATGCATTGCTAGTGACATAACATGGGTGGTATAAAATCCATTTTATCTTTTTAACATCATGCATATTGTCTGTCTATATACTTTAAACTTGTAATTGCCTCTAGAGATCCCTGAAGACCCAGAAACTGCAGAAGAATATTATAATGATGAGTTTGAATCCTGTTCAGAAGGCAGTGAAGAGGAGGAGGATGTGGAAGCATCACAGATGGTCTCTAAGACAAACCACCAGGTATATGTCCCCTTTGGGAAAACAGTGTGCACTTGATGCTCATGGGAAAATTAAGCGCCTTCCAAGATTTTGTCCTACTGATGTTACTGAAATTTGTTTTTGTTAGGACGTGTGTGTTTATCAATATCATGAATTAATTATATATGTATGCATATGTAATTCTGCTGAGTCATTGATGAGAAAGATTCTTGCATTACTTCAAGATTAAGGATGACACTTCTATGAATGCCACAAGGCGGATTGTTGTCAGTAAACTTCCTTGTGACTGTAGAACACTGAGAGTGGGGTTCTCTCACGTGTTAGCTATGGGTAAATTAAGTTAAAGCTGAAAGTATGTTTCAAACATAAAATCTAAGTTTCAGCTCTAATTCCCAGGGACAGATAGGCACCTCTAGCTGCCGCTTCTTCCTGCCTATATTAGACATATTTTCTAGGACAGTGTGATGAACTGTGAGCCTAAAAAACTGCAAGACTTGAGCAGCAAATCTGTAGACTTTCCCAAGAATCTCAGAAAGTGCCAGTGAAGAGAAAACTTACTATTGAAAGGCTTAAAGTAGCTTTATTAGGTGAGGCTGCCACAAGAAAGTCTTGGGGATTGCAGTTTGAAGAAGGTTGAAGATTATTGGAAAAGGCACCTAATTTAGATCTGATCAGAATGAGCTGAGATGAATCTTGTCTCCAGTGATCAAGTCTCAGTAAAATCAATGAACTTAAACGCCCAAGTCAGTTCTGAAGATGGATCTTTCTAAGGTATTCAGGAACAATCGTTTCTCCCCTGGGCCACCAGCTTAAAGTATTGTGTACAGCGGCTCTAAATGGTACTGTCTGATTCTGCTTAGGATCATATATGTTATTCTGAATTCATGCACAAATTGTGCAGAACAGAGTGTGAAGTCTTTTGCATTTTAGGGAACCTACCACGTATGCTAATACTCCTCACTAATTTATAAATAACTTGTACTGATTTTTGAAAATTTTGAACTAATAGCTTCTTTAAGATGTAGTTTTAAAGGCAAAAATAAAATGTTTGTGTGAGAAATCAGAACTCTACTTCTACCATGGCAGCAGGGAGTCCTGAAATTCTCTCACCAATTAAACTCAGAAATAGCTTCATTCAATCTAGAAATGTCCTCCTAGCTTTCAAACTAAACACACAGGATGTTTTAAAATTCAGGATCAGTTTATACAGTACTGGTCCAAAGAAATTATTAGTCAATTGTAAATCAGTGGAATATCTAAGACAATGCTTTTTTTCAGTTTGCTGGGTCTGTGTTTACCCGCAACACATGGACATGCAAACACTCTGTTGCCCAGAAAGTCTACCACAAGATACTCTCGAAAATAAATTATTGCTCACTTTCATCAGACTCTCAGATAATTTTTTTTTTAGAACGCCTTTTGAAATTTTCATTCAACTTTCATTGACAGTATCATTAAGTGTCAATCAATAGTGTTTTTGAACAGGCAGACTGCTGCTTAGAATTAATGAAGGGCAGAAGATAAAAATAGATCTCTCAATAATGCAGAATAAATTAGGTGTTGGCAGTCAGATCTGAGCAGCAACATTCCCTCATTTTGTGGTGACTCAGAATCCGGCGATGACAAGAACCGTCACCGTGGGCTGTAAGAGCTGTCCCACTGGCACCTCTTGTCTGAATCAAACCACGATGGCCCTGAGGCTTTGCTTTACCAGCAGTCTGTGTGCACACAGAGCATTAACCCTCTTCGAACTGGCCTGCTCAGACTGACTGGAAAGCACCCCCGTGACCATTTGCCTTATAGGACTTCCTCTATCAAAGAAACTAATTGTCTGTGGTTTTTTTCTCATGTTGAACCCCAGCACCTTAGATAAAGCAGAAGTGTGTTCCTGGGTGTTGACACAATCCCCTTTTCTTTTACTTGGAAAGTGAGCAAAATTTTTAATTTTCCCTTTCTCAAGTGAAAAATTCTGCAGTAAGTCTGAGGTCAAAGCAGACTGAACATAGCTGTGCAAGTCTGGACACCTATGTCTGAACTAACTGAATGGAAAGTCTGTACAGTAAGGGGAAGTAAGCGAGCATTTTAGGGAATAATGTTATCTTGGTGTAAACATCTAATGGAGGTTAGATGGAATATGCTGAGAGGTGCCTCTTTCTCTCTGGTGATTATAAAGGGATCTACAGTTATTAGCATGCATGGGACATCTTCATTCTGGATGTCAACAGTTATGTGAGATGAATCCCACTCAAAGGTAGGTGGGATCATGCTCGGTATTAATAATAAGCTTCAAATCCTGCCAGAATAGATTTGAACTTGCTAGTATATAGCAGGGGTTTGCTTCTGCAGTAATTTACTTAATACCAAAACTCCTACTCCTATTTCTATGATAGGATTCATACTCTTAAACCCTTTCTTCAAAAATACCTTCATAAATTAAGCTTTTGGAGGTGTGTGCTAATAAAGAAGTCATTCTACTGCAACACAGAATAAGGACTTGTAAGATATTTACCTTCCTAATCTGTGCAAATCTCTCAATTTTCCAATGCCAAGATTGCTTTACTAGTTACTTCTGTGCAGAGAGTGCAGAAATGCTGCATCTGGTGGTGCTCCCTGGTGACCCCATTACTTCGAACAACGATGAAAAAGATTTTCTGATGTTCATGCAGTAGCATGGGGTCAGAAAAGTCATCTAATTGATGGTGCAATTGGGGTACATGATGTAGAAAGAGATCTGAGCTATTTATTTAAGCTATATTAGGCTCCCACAGATGTCAAGACAGACTGAGAAGTAGTGGCCTTACGTGGGATGCAACACCTCTTCAGTTAAGAAGGTAGAGTTAGGCACTGGAACGGTATAATTTTAAAGGTTTAGGATGGGAGCTGAGACAGCTATTTTTCCCATGTTGATATCTTTCAATACCGCCTGTGTGTTTTCAGCTACATTGTCCAGTTGCAGATGTGGAGTTACCACCAATTTCAGACCCTAAGCACGTCTGGACCTCTCATCTTGGTTGTAGCATTGGAGTTTAGCGTCCTTTGTCCCTCTCTTTTGGAGCAGAAATGCAGATTGCCAGATTTCCAGCAGCAATTTGCCAATTACTTTTCCAGACCTCTACCTCTTCAAGCCAATGGCTCTTTTCTACATGTTTTTTTTCTAGGAACACTGGTTTCTAATTAGGGGGAAAACATGAAAGAGAATGAGAAAGTGTTTCTAAAAAAATTTAAAAATATGAAGCTTAGGAGAGGTTTCATCTTGAAAAGTTAGTGCACAGTGAAGTTTTCATCGGCTTTGATTTAGCTGAGATGCTAATGGATGCTTTTTACTGCAGTTTATCCCCTTGTTCTTTGTGTTTTCTTTTAGTGACAATAATAACAAATTTGCCCTCTTCATTATGACAAAGTTTACTGATGTGGTACATTAGCTTCCTATTTTCAATTTCCAGGTCGCTTCTGAGGTTGTCAAACCAGATAATCAGCTGGCATAAATTATCATAGCTCCAGCGGCTGTGGGTGGTCTGTGTGCTGTCACCCAAAAAATGCTCCACTGGATTCCTAACACGCGCCTTGGCATGGCCTGTTGCTGTTAGAAAGGGGTTCGTTGGTTCGTTCTGAATTTGAAGTGCGCAAGCATTCATCCATGCTGGCTCTTATGCGTAAGAGTGCCTCTCTTCCGCGCATCTGCCAGAGTCCCTTGCCTATTCTGTAGGGCTCTGCTTTCTCTGCAAAACATTAAAGAAATACATTAAATAGAGAAGCATATTAAATAAAACAGCTAAAATCCTCTTGGATTGCTAAACCCAAGTGGAGAAAAGGCACAGGTAGTTTCTACCTCAGCATAAGTTGATTAACCATTTATTCACCTATTTACCACTGTGTGAAAACCACACGCTCTTTTTTCCTCATTGAAATTTTATTTCAAGATAGCCAAGTTAAGACAGCTAGTTTCCTTGCAAACCAGTGGTGATGAAAGTGGTGAAAGTGTATCTTTTGCCTTACAGCGTAATGAGAGAAAATCAGCTCTGTTGTGATATTTGGAGTAAATATGATGTCCTGTTGTGAGAAGTCAAAGGTTTGGGAATTACAATCTTTATCCCATAAAAAAGAAAAAAAGGTTTCATTAAAGCAATTGTATTAATATTGTATGTGGCCATTTACCATGTTTTTGTCTGTCTGTCTATAGATTTGCAGTTAACTGTTAGTGATAATGAAAATAGAAATGATTACAAATTTATATTAGCAGAAAATTAATATCAATTTTCAGTTTTGAATGAAAAATATTTAATAACTTTTTAATGAAGTCCTAAAGATTCATTTAATCTTTTTTTTTTTTTTACAAAGACAGAGAAATTATATCTGTAATATTAAGTCTGTCTTAATTCAATATTCAATATATATTGTATATATAAATAGAATGCATTCTGTAGCATTTCCTGGGCAAAAGCCCCAGTTAGGCAGGTTCAGATTAGCTTGGTCATCTGAGGTGACTCAGGCACTTTGGATGGGCTGCAGAGCTGGAAACCCTGGTGCTGACTTTATCTAGCCAGGACCCCACAGGCTGCTCCAAAAGGGCAAAGAGGCTCCTTCAGACCTACGAGCCTTTGGGTTATCTGTTGAAATGGCCAACCAAGAAGCTGATTCCCATCTTGCAAACCTCAGCTAAAATAGCAGAGTCTGTTTCAAATGTAAGCTCATGAAACAACTTAGGGTTATAAGAAGTTAGATCATGCTCATCCATAACAGCTCTCACTTGCACCGAAAGGTGAATAACCAGCTAACAGTCATTGCCAACAATTATTGTTATCCTGTTAAGGTATACTGGCAGTTCCTCAGTTTGAGAAACTTAGAATGAGCATTTTGAGTAAGATCACAGGGAAATATAAAGCAGATTGTCCGTTATAGAAGCTGAGGTCAATATTGTTTCTTTTTATTCCAGTGTTTTAAATTTTAAAACCATAGGCTTCTCAATATTTTTTAAAATACAGATTTTTGGCATATTTTTCAGCAAGGTCAAGATTTTGACTTTCAGTTTGAAATAGCCAAGAAATGCCATGTTGTCGAATGGGATGTGGCAGCAGCTTCTAGAAACCAAGGTTCTCTTGGACTTTAACAAAATTGTGATCTGCTTCCTGGAGCACAATCATTGACTAATGGCCAGATCTTTAAATTTCGTCTGTGTACACAAACAGCCTTTCTCATGAAAGGTATCATGGCAAAACTGTTAATCGTCTGTCTGGTAACAGAATACTTGAAATAGAAAAGTGCTAAAATCTCTTCCTAACTAAAATTTTTTCAATTAGTCGTTGTTACTAGATATGTAAGTAGATGTAATTACATGAAACATGAGTATTAATTTGCAGTGGGCAGCTATCATAAGCATAAGAAATTTTGGCATAGTTAAGAAGTACATACTTGCCTTTTTCAATGTAATATTGTTTTAGATATTCCAGGACTAACCGATGATAAAATGCTGGTGTATTTTCAGAGACCGCACACCACCCTCCACAGTAAACATACCTTTTTTAAACTCCATGCACAGTTGTTCTACTCACTTGTGTTCTGCAAGGAATCTGATGTAAATAATTGTTTGTATATAACATCATTCCCAAGCCTGGTGTTTTAGGAGAAGAAACTAAGCAATGTAGACCCTTTGTAGTCTAGTGTTGACACTCATTGGTGTAAGTGATGTCCTTTATGTTTGTATCATCATACCTCTTGTACATAGTGTTTATATTTAAGTTTGTGCTCACACTAATGCTATTCCTTATTTCATTTATCCACAGGACAGTGATATTGAGGCAATGGTCAAGTATTTGGAGAGTGTCCTGAATAATAGCTCTTTGGGTAAGATGATATCTCTTCTTTAAATGTAATGGAAGCAGTTATTAGCAGTCTGTATTCATCACAGTCCAATTATTTCCATTTTGCAACAAAATAACTCAAAAAATGTGATCTTATTGAAAATTGCTTCCTTAATCTACTGCAGAGAAGTATAAATATGCCAAAAGAAAAGGCATGTTTAAGTTATGTGCTTTTGTTGAAAATAATAGAGCCATAAAGCATGATGGTCAGAAGCGTGGAATGTTATAACAAAAGCTTTTAAAAACTTGGCTTCTTCCATCTTTTCTCTGGAGGAAAGTATTTAAGGATACGTAGGTTGTTTTATAGTTTCTAGTACTAGTAAGAATAACAGAAAATTAATTAAAATATTTGAATTTTTTTAAAAAAATTATGATCCAGGTTTGGATAATATTTATTTTATTTTACAGTATCTCATTACAGGCACAGAAAAATCACTGAGAATTTAAGCTTGCAATTTAATCCTAAAATCTCCTGCAAGTTCTCGCTATAATTTTAGAGTTTGAAAGCCTGGTTTCTCATGTTCTACCTAAAAGCTAAAAAGAAAACTTAAATGAAAGAAGGCTATTTACTGAGGCTGGCATAGTCACTGTCCTTGAAGACCACTGGGTTGGATTGTGCCAGCAGCAGCCTGCGTGTGGGTTGCATGAAAGCCCAGCTGGGTTCCCAAAGGCTCCCACGGGAACCGCAGTCTTGTTTAGCTGCCTCACTTACACTCATCCAGTCGGGATAAACCTGACTCAGTATTATGTTGTGGCTCTGACACGAGAATGTAGGGGAAGCCTGGGAAATCCTCCTTGTAGATGTTCCTCCAGTGTTGAGTTCTGTTTCACCTCTGCTCATGAGCATGGACTGATGGGAAGAGAGAACCAAAGAAGAAAAAGGATGAAAGGAGGTAATCAAAGCTGTGGCAGTCATAGTCTTGTAGCCACTGAATCACGTCTGGTCACCTGGGTGATCCTTAGGACTGGAGGAAGGAACATTCACGTCCAGTTTGTCTTCACACTAACAGATCCCACGGTCTTCAAATTCTGCACTCATTTATGTATTTGCAGCATCATTGTCTGCAGTGGGTTTGCAGAAGTGGAAATAGGGACAAAATTTAGCTCTATGGTTCAATATTTTGTTATTTTAATGAAAGAGAGGAATTGCCTTGAGGGCTTCTGGAATAACCCTGAGTATAAGCCGAAGTCAGACAGTGGTATTTATTTGTCTTCACACTAACAAAGAGACTCTTAGTATTAAAGAGACTCTTGTCTTCTTCTTTTTCTTTCAGTATTAAGATCAAGAAGATGCCTTTTTAATTTATAATATTAAAGAATTAAATTGTGCTTTAATCATTAAAAAAATCTCTGACCAGTCTGTGCTGAAACTTAAAACCTTTCTCCAAGCTGAGTTAGTAATTAGGTTTGTATGATCTGTTCCAGGCAAATATATGTGATGATAATAAGAGAGAAATCTGCTAGGGTCCCTTTTATCTTTGTATGCTCACTGTCACTGAGGAATTTTAAACATTTACTATTTTAAGTTAAGTCCCTGGTATCAATACAGGCTGGGGGATGAAGGGATTGAGAGCAGCCCTGCTGAGAAGGACTTGGGGTTACTGGTGGATGAAAAGCTGGACATGAGCCGGCAATGTGCACTCACAGCCCAGAAGGCCAATTGTATCCTGGGCTGCATCAAAAGCAGCGTGGCCAGCAGGTCGAGGGAGGTGATTCCGCCCCTCTACTCTGCTCTGGTGAGACCCCACCTGGAGTACTGCGTCCAGCTCTGGAGCCCTCAGCATAAGAAAGACACGGACCTGTTGGAGCGGGTCCAGAAGAGGGCCACAAAAATGATCAGAGGGGTGGAACACCTCTCCTATGAAGAAAGGCTGAGAGAGTTGGGGTTGTTCAGCCTAGAAAGGAGAAGGCTCCAGGGAGACCTTATAGCAGCCTTTCAATACTTAAAAGGGGCCTTATAAGAAAGACAGAGACAAACTTTTTAGCAGGGCCTGTTATGACAGGACAAGGGGTAATGGTTTTAAACTAAAAGAGGGTAGATTTAGACTAGATAGAAGGAAGAAGTTTTTTACACTGAGGATGGTGAAGCACTGGCACAGGTTGCCCAGAGAGGTGGTGGATGCCCCATCCCTGGAAACATTCAAGGTCAGGCTGGATGGGGCTCTGAGCAACCTGATCTAGTGAAAGATGTCCCTGCCCATGGCAGGGGGGTTGGACTAGATGACCTTTAGAGGTCCCTTCCAACCCAAACCATTCTATGATTAAGTTCTTCCAATGTCAAGCTACAAAGCTGCAGTTGGGATAATTTTAATGTGTTTGCTAACATTCATTTATACCTTGCTTTTTCTTCACTGGGCTGCAAATTCATGTTACGTCAAAATTTTCTGTATATGGTGCATTTTACGTAACTGATCACTAGCAAGTTGGTTATAGCCATGGGATTGCCAGTGCCAGCCTGTGCCTCATCTCTTGTCATCCCATGCCCGTAGTCCTTTACGCCTCATCCTTTGTCCCCACTTTTCAAGGCATCAGCTGTTGTACCAGACCTGTATTTTGCTACATTAATTTACTTACGTTAGTTATAAACATGTCATTCTGCACAGAATACTACTATCCATCTGAAAATGTGGGTTGTACGACACAAAAATAAGCGGAAATAAAACAAAATAGCCACAACTACCTGGTCATTAGAAGAACTGCTGTTACAGCTTAAGCGATTAAATCAAAGTTCCTGGCAGGTCAAGACAAGTTCAGACAACGCCTGAAGCCTTGCAAACTCAGGTCCAAGCGTGTGGCCTGGTACTAGCAGTGGCAATACCATATTATTGAGCTACAGAGGTACAACATCATTATAATAGCTACTCCTGAAAACAGTATGGATTTCATGGCAATAATAGGGCAGATGCAGAAATCTGGCCTGGCCAGAATTTCTTGTAGTGTCTTTCATTGTTAAAGGTATTGTGAAAAAATTATGTGCCATTTCAAGCAGATGCTAGAGAACATCTGAGTAGAATAAAACTAGAACTTTTTTTATGTCAGCAAGGGCTGTGATAAAAAGGATGCAATAAATATACATTGTTTTTCCACAGGTGGATTTTCTTTGGTATAAACCTCAGTTTATACTGAGGTAAAAGGGTACTTGCTGAAGGGTAAAAGGACTTCTGAAGTAACTGAGCTTTCTCATCAAGATTTCCCACTGAGTCACTGTGAATACCAGCGCTTTAGTGTGGTACAAGGCTCATTTTGGGTTGGCTATACAGCTCCATGTGGAGTATATTTGAAATAAGATAGTCCATGCTGATAAAATTTGAAAAATTGGGAAGATCCCAGAAAAGAACTGCAAAATGAAAGGAAGTTTGAAAAACTGGTTTTACAATTTACTAAATCTGCTTAGCTTAAAGGAGGAGAAAGTTAGAGGCAGTTGGGTCACTTTGTATTGTTTGTAAACTCAGGAAAATACATCTGATTCTAAGGAGCTTTTTAGAAAGCTTTGTAGAAAAAGGCATTGTAGGATCTCATATGTAGCAGTGAAAGCTGAAGAAAAATTCGAAATCCAAACAGAAGTCTATGATTCAGTGGAGATAATAGCTTCACAGCACATAAACGGCTTACCAAGAGGTGCAGTAGATGTCTATCACCAATTATTGGGTTGTTAGCAGAAATGTTGGTAGGAATGCCTTTGGGCCATAATGTATGAAAAGTCTCACCAGATAATCATAGTCACCTGTTTTAAATGTAAGTACCTGTGAATACA